TTCAACTCCTCATCTTCAGTCTCCAGTGAAGCTCTGGTCCTGAGTACTATCAACACTCTCCGTAATTCCAGAGAGTCACAGCTCAGTGAATCAGTGCAGGTGGTGAATGTCACCTATGAGAGTAAGTCTCATCATTTTCACTTGAAAAGCTTTTGAAGTAGGAATAAGCCACACCGTCATAATAAGCAAGGGTTGGGCAAGTAAAAATTACCTTTATTTCCAAACAGAAATCTCAGAAACCTCCTATGCTGTAATCTTTGAGTTTAATGTAAGTAATATCAGCAAGCCAGAGAACCCTGAGCTAAGAAACAGCCTTTACATGCAAGTGCAAGATGTCGTCAATAATGCGGTAAGAAATTTTTATTAACCCATTTACAAAGTTTGAGTCCAATGTAATTTTTCTCCAAAGGTTGATGAATGGTTTGATTTTTCTTATGCAGCTGAACACACTTCTGAATGAACCCAGCAGTCCAATTGTACAACCCAAATCATCCAAATTCACGTAAGATTGAAACTCACTCCACAATCTTTATTTAAAGTGTCCTCACATTTTAGCTTATTAAAGCCATTCAAAATTACAAAACATCAATACAACACAAAACAAAAATAATTAATTTATAAAATTAAATGAATGAATTAATAAATAAATAAATAAATAAATACACTTTTTAAAGGTGTGGATTAAAGTCCCTAACAGATATCTCCTATTTGTTCTGTAGGAGCTCTTCAAAACAGATTGATGGCAGGATGGACTACACCTTCCAGGATGGAGATGCCATACAACCAGTCAGCTTCCTAAATGAGCTTCGATCACAGTCTGGTATGTCTATACAAAATGAAAAATACTCTTGACAGTTACAACAACTTTTCCTCAAAATCTAAATATTATTGTATGTTTCTCCCTTTCATTGCAGAACTGACCCATACTACAATGTTTCCAGACACAATAACCAATTTCCCTTTGACTTCTTCAAGCCTAATGCAAGTATTGAGATTCCATTTAAATGCAGTCTGTTATGGATTCATAATTTTAGCACAAAAAGTGAACCACATTAATCAAAAGTGATCCTCTTTGCAGATCTGGTACAGCGGTGGTCATAAGCAAGCTGGTGTTCAACTCCTCATCTCCAGTCCCCAGTGAAGCTCTGGTCCTCAGCGCCATCAACACTCTCCGTAATTCCAGAGAGTCACAGCTCAGTGAATCAGTGCAGGTGGTGAATGTCACCTATGAGAGTAAGTCTCATAATTTTCAGTTTAGAAGCGTTTTAAATGGATATGAGCAAAACAGCAATGAATGTCAAATTTTCACCCAATCAAAAATAACCATTTCTTTCTAAACAGAAATTTCGGAATCTTCCTATGCTGTCATTTTTAAATTTAATATGAGTGACATCAGCATGCCAAGGGACTCTGGACTCAGAAACAACATCTACCTGCAAGTACAGGATACTATCAATAAAGCGGTAAGCATTCACCAATTACTCATTTAAATTTGTAGACCCCATGCAAATATTCACAGAGGGATCCAGTATTCAGTTCAGTTTGATTCATGATTTGAATTTTTACCTGCAGCTAAACACTCTTCTGAATGAACCTAGCAGTCCAGTTTTACAATCCATTTCATCCAACTTTAAGTAAGATGCAGTCTGTCATAATCTGCTTTTTTTTCCCCACATGAAAATATATGAAAATAAAAAAATACATTTCCAATAAAATTCTCTGTGATTGTTCTGTGCATATGCATTGATGTCCTGATACTGTGTGCAACAGATACTGCATATTGTTGTTTTTCTCTAGGAGTTCATTAAATCAGATTGAGGGCAGTATGGAGTACAACTTCCAAGATGCAGATGTCATAAAACCAGTCAGATTCCTACAGGCGCTTAGTTCATTGACAGGTTTGTCAAAACTGAAAATCAAACATTACTTAAGATTTAGTTTTAATTAAATGTGTTGCTCCACCAACACCACATACTGTAACTGTAATCCTTCTTGGCTAATCATTACTTTATTTTACAGTCTTAACAACAGCCAGTACTCTGACATCAAGCATAACTTCTCCACCAACATTGTAAGAGCCAGTGTCGTTTTGTAAAAGCCAGTTATTTTCTGAATCTGTCTTTATATTCTTGTTATTTCATCATCTTTGGTAGGTTGGGGAAGGCTTATATAAAAATTGAATTGGTGTTTCACACACTGGGCCCAATCCCTAGTAAGGATTACATTATAAACTTGGCCAGCTCTACGCTCAACCCACGTTACAGAACTAAAGTAGTCGCACCACCAACCCAGGGTACGAGCCTTGTGGATATCGGCTATAAAAGTGAGTTTTTCTCTCCTCTTTAAGCTCCTTTTTGTTCTGAATATGTCATTTGAATGCAAATGAAGTTTATTGTGTAGACCTGTAGTAGCTTGCTTTTAAAGAAAATGTAATCAGTCACATATAACCACACAACTAATAATTTTTCTTCTGTGTTTTAAGAACTTAATGAAACCTCCTATGCTCTCACATTTGAATTTGAAATCACTAATATATCCATGTCTGAGAAACGTGAACTAAGGAATGAAACCTATACTTCAATCAAAAGCACTATAAATAAATTGGTGAGATTGAGACACTTTGCTTTAATGGTTTCTCACAGAAACTTCCTGTGAAAATTAATATGCCTTATTCTAATCACATTAACTTTAACATTAATAAACACAGTAATCTCTGTATTTATTTCTCCACTCTCCAGCTTGTCGACATCCTAAAGGATCCCTCAGCTTCTCAGTTTGATCTGCAACACATTGAATTCGAGTAAGTTCTGAATCTGAAGAAATGTCTTAATGATTGTACAAAATCTGCTTTTAACATTGATTCGTTTTTAGTATGAGGAGATGAGGTTTTTAGACCGCTACTTCTGTTCCTCATTGCACATTTGAATCTCCACACAGTGGTAATAGCACAGTGATTCTGGCCAGTGTTCAGTATGTTTTCTCAGAAAGTGACTTGAGCATAAACAGCACCTTTGTCAAGGAAATATTCAAAGCTAAGGAAGGTATTACCACATCCACACATGCAATGTCACATTTTATATGCTCCATAAACACTGAATACTTTGATTTAAAGCATTAATTTAAAGATTATTCTCCACTAATCATTACTTTATTTTACAGACTTAACGACAGCCAGTACTCCGACAACAAGCACATCTCCACCCAGTACTCTGAAAATAAGCACATCTCCACCAAATGTGTAAGAGCAATAATTAATTTTCTCTTTGCATTCCTCTGTATTATCTTTTGAAAATAGGTGGTAACATGGAATAAATCTTCCAAATAAATAAATGTACTATCTTTTGCAGGCTTGGGAAGGTGATCATATACATCAGCCTTGTGTTTAAAACACGGGGTACTATCCCAAGTGAGAGTAACGTTGTAAATGTGGCTAACACCCTGTTGTCTGGAATGAAACTGAGAATGAAACGATCCCTCACAACAAAAGATCTGACTGAGCTTGTGAACTTTGTGAATGTCACCTATACAAGTTAGTTTTTCTCTCCTGCCTTTTTTGTTGTGCACATAACATTTGAATGCAAATGGTGTACTATTATGTAGTAAGCTTTTCCTTTGAAGGAAAATGGTTAAATCAGTAATCCCTGAATGGATGAGTGAAATTTTATCATCCACATATAACCACACCACAACTAATTGTTGTTTTGTTTATTTTTTTCCCCTAAAGAAATGGATGATAACTCCTTCTCTCTGAACTTTGGATTTGAAATCAGCAATGTGTCCATGTCTGAAAGAGTTGAATTCAGGAATGAGACCTTCACAGTGATCCAGGACTATATAAATACATTTGTGAGTTACAGATACTGAGAAATTGAGAATAGAGAAATTGCTTTATTTCGGTCACACTAGCCATAAACAAATTAATCAATACAAATTTATTTCTGCTTTTCAGGTGTCCAAGATCCTGAATAAAACAACAACTACTTACCTTAATTTCAATCAAATCAATTTCAAGTAAGTTCTGGCTCAGTATTTTTTTTTCTTTTTTAAGCAGCGTTTTAAATGATTTCAAGAGATCTGCTGTCATCATTGAGTAGTTTTGGGTGAGGGAAGGAAAGATCAGTTTATTTATTTTGCTTCATTTCTCATTGTACATTTTCTCCACAGGGGTAACTCCTCCGTGATTGAGGCCAACGTACAGTATGTTTTCACAGACAGTGACATCGGCAGTTTCGGCTTGGTCTCTGCTTTCCTCGGACTTACTACAACAGCCGCTCCAACCACCTATTACCCCACAGTCCTGACCAGTACAATCTTAAACAATAGTACAAACGTAGCATGGATTGTGGCTATCATTGTCCCCTGCGCTATTGTCATCGGGCTCGTACCTTGCTGGATTCTCCTTTGCGTGAGTATTAGGATGACTGAATGTCAAATATGTGCATTGGAATGACAACATGCAATTGTTACTCTTTTGTCTTATCAATAGACTTAAATGTGCCTTTATATTCTATAATTATAACTTATATATAATGTTTATCATGTACAGCTGATTAAAAGTGTTTTTAACTGTATAAAATTCCCTTACATGATGCTAACTCTCACTTTGTCTGTTGATGTGTTTAGTGTTTGCTGTGTGGTTGCTGTGCAGCAATCAGAAAACGTTGGCACAGAAGACGATCATACAATGTACAGTACACAACTCGAAACAGCATCTTCTAGAGGTATTCAAGAACAAACTTTGATGCTTAAAATATTAATTTTCCTGTATTGCTGGGCATACAGAACCTCTGTATACAGAACTGTGATTTAAAAAAAAAAAAAAATACTATTTAAGGAATGATTTTATTTATTTAAAAAACTGTTATGTAAAGTAATGAGAATCTTGTTTTCTAAATGAAAGATTTATTTGGTAGTATGTATTTAATGTTAAGGGAAAAAATGTAGAATGTGTTGATCACTTATTTATTCACACTTAATGTACTTTATCTAAAATAACATATTGCACTCTGATGACATATGTATGTACGAATCACAATTAATGTTTTAAGACTGTGTAGTTAAAAACTATAATTTAATAAAACAATTCAATACCAATATGAGAACATTATTGTAGCCTATCCTTAATTGTTGGTATATACAATACAGAGCTTTACAGCTTTAATATGTTGGAAAATTCATTTGGGCCCATCATACCAGTCCTTCTGATAAACGCTCTACCAAAGACAGAATGGTTATTATGATGATGGATAAAACATCTTCAACACAAACTTACACTCCATTTCCAATACACTAAATGGAGTGTTAGCCATTTTGTAGTGCTGTCTGACATCTTTGTGAACAACAGGTACAGGTGGAACGTTTCTGAGTTATTCTCTGGTAGACATTCATGCATGGCTAACATCGCAGCACCGTTAAATATGTGGATCTAACATAATCGAGTCGAAATGTAATTCATTTAAATATAAAATAATTCTGTTATATACAGAAGGAATTTAGCTTGGTAACAGAAGCTTCCAGTAGGTATACATAGGCTACATACAGCAGAGGTCCTCAGCGTGCCATGTTTCACTTCACTTCACGTACCAGCCAGCCCCACTTCTTTGGTAAAGTAAAGGTAGGCGTGTAAATAAAATATAATATTTTTGTCCTATTAATGATTTATGGTAGAACCAATGTGAGTAATAAATAGAAGAGAATCGGAATGATAACATGTATTGAAGGTTGAGCTGCACCCACAATTAGTTACACCACGCTGTGAAGTGTAGCCTATGCTGCACACACTTTCTTCCTTTTTACATTTACATTTAGTAATTAAGCAGACGCTTATCCAAAGCGACTTACAAATGAGGACAATAAAAGCAGTCAAAACTAACAAAAGAGCAACATTTTAGATTTCATTTCACGTTGTGGACTGTTTTGGAATGTACAGTTAAAATAATAATAATAATAATCTGATGACAGACCATCAAAACCAGTTAATGTCTCTTGAAAATGGGGGTGTGCATTCACCTTATTTATTTTTTTTATTTTTTTTTACTGTGTATGTGTGTAGCAAAGTAATTAAGTACAGCCTTTGGCACCTCTGAAAGACATTTAGTTCTTTTTCTGATGACTCATCTGACATCTCACTATGGGAACCTGCCCCTAACCTGTTGCACAGGATCAGGTCCACATTCACTATAGTACAGCTTCTCCAAATATGTCTCACTTTGAAGGAATTTATGTTAGGAAAT